ACCCCCGTCACCCCATCATTCCAACCAACGTCGACCCCAACCTTGATCTCCACCCATTTTAGTCATAGCCAAGGGAGTCTCGTCTTTGCCAAACTTGGGAAGTCCTGAGCTCCCTCGGGCCAGGGTTTTACTCATCCCCTTGCAGCTGGGCCCTGTCTGGAGGTTGGGGCTACAGCTTGGGATCAGGTAGACCTGCCCACATCTAGCATCCCCGACTCCAGGTCCCTGGGACCCTGATAATAGGCCCCAGACTGATTTCCTTTCTTCTGATCTCCCTCCCTCCCACCCACTTCTCAGACGTCCCCCCCCCACCCCCAGAGCACTTAGAAATGCATCACTTTAAACTCCCTGCTGGGAATTTCCTACGGGCTTCTGGTCCAATAGAGTAGAATCCACAATCCTATCTGAGACATCCAAGGCTGCGCGTGCTCATTCTAAAAGCCTGTGCCAACTCTCCGCTCTCATCTCCTTCCTCTCTCTTCTATCAGCTTCCAAACCTATTCCTGCCCCAGGGTCCCCCTCCTGGGGTGCTCTGCCTACACCCCAAGACTGGCTCCCTCTTCATCACTCACCTAGCATCCCATCTCCTCCTCCACTTGGTTTTCTTAGTAATGTTTATCACTATCTGAAATTATAGTCTATTACTATTAAATCGCGAATGCTTTCGTTGATTCATTTTTACCTTTAAAATTCAGAGGCTCCTGGAGGCGGAGGTTTGGGTGGAGTGGTTCACTGGCCTCTTGCTGGTCTCCTAGAAGCTGGCAACCCAAGGAACTCAATAAACAGTTGCTGAATGAGTGGATGAACATATGAATGCACTTGGAGTGCTTCTTTTCTTTCTTTGGCACCAGGGGTTGGACCTGGGGTGGGGGTGGGGCTTCATCACTGGGCCACGTCCCCAGTCCTTTTTATATTGTTATTTAGAGGCAGGGTCTCACTGAGTTGCTTGGGGCCTTGCATAGTTGCTGAGCCTGGCTTTGAACTTGGGTTTCTCCTGCTTCAGCCTCGCGTCACTGGGGTTA